CCCCCCGCTTATGGGGCCAGGAAGTCCTAGTTCATGGTGCCCCCGGCGTGCTTGTAACCCAGTTTGTCTGGGACTGCACCCCCACGCTGCCGAGACGACGTCCTGTCGACATGCCACAGTTATCACGTTAGCGCTTAACGCCCCGGGTTCAGTGGCTGCGCTCAGCAACAAAAGTATGTGCGTGTGTGAGGTTGCCCGGGCAACGGGCCTCACTCGGACCAGCTGAAGATGGGGTGAGGCCCTGCCTGTTTCCCCAGAGAGGTGCAAGGCTGTAGAAATAGGCTGGGTTAATGTAGGGTGCCTGCTCTGGGCGGGGCGGTAATGTAATCATTAGCATGACGAGATCACAGTGGAAAGCACCCTGGGGGGGGGGGGGGGGGGCTGGACTGAGTCCTGTTCTATTTCCAGGCACCAGCTCCTACATCTTTGTTTACGCCGCCGATCTGGAGAGCGGAGCTCACGTGACGTGCCAGGCTGCCCCTGGCTGGAAAGTGGGCGGAGCCATTGTTTATCTGCTGCTGTGGCCCCGCCCCCCTCCGGGGGGCTCCCCCCGTGGTGCGCATGGCATGGCACGCTGATTGAGTTACGAGGGCATGCAGAGAGGCATTAAATGAAAGGCTGCAGTGTTCCTCCTGCAGGACCTGATTTAATTTCCCCCGCCTTTGACTCCATCGATCCGGTCAGAAGAGGACGGTCTGCAGGCCCAGGAAATCCACACAGCAGCATGGTATCTCGGTGGCTTGGGAGCGTGGTTAGAGCGCCCTCCTCTGGTGAGGACTGAGTTTGTGCCTCCCTCTTCTGTGAGGATCTCTGAGTAGGTTTCCCAAAGCCCGGGGGCGTATACTTTTTGCTGAGGTGTGAGTGAATGTCAATGAATGCTGGTTTGCTTTCACACTCCTGGTGCGCTCTACTGCTTCTGATTTGGCTTGTTCTGATTGGATAACTGGAAATGGTGCGATTCATCTTCCTGGGTGTCTGTTATTATCGTAAGTGCCCTTCTCACCCCCCCCCCATCCCGCTCTCTCTCGCTGGAAGCAGACGGCGGCAGGACCGTGGCCGGAGCCTCCCACACACCGCGTTCGCTGGCTGCCGAGCTGGGCGCCCCGTTCAGCTCTCTGATTGGTGACCGCAAGTCCACGTTGCCCGCTCACTCCAGCCAGCCTGTCCTGTTCACCTTCGACATCCCCGCGCTGCACGTCCAGGGCCCCCTGTCCAACAGCGTCCCCCAGGACTACCTGTTCCTGCACCAGTGCATGAGCAGGAAGTCTGAGAGCGCTCGGTAGGTGTTGACCGCCCCCTGACGGTCTTGACCGTATTAACCTTAGTATTTGCTCAGCAGGAGAGTGCAGAGTGGACTGTTTCCTGGAATGGTGATGACAGCGGACATGCTTGTTTTCTGCTTGTGATTTAAAAGTGGAAAAAAAAAACAAAAAAAACAAATGCATGAGCTTCTTGCATGAAGGGATGCCCTTCACGTGACTGCCCCGGCTGGTTTTCGTGTTTGGGTTCCTGGCCAGGGGCATGTAGTGTAATGTGTTGCTGGCCAGAGGGCATCTGAAAGGTGTGAGGCTTAGCGCCAGTGTGGCCGGTACCATTTGTGATTAACATCGTGAACATGACTACCCCTAGTGGCGGCGGGTTGAACTGCATTTGTCTATTAGACGATCATGAAGGTTTTCTAGGAATGGATGTGTGGGTACTGTGGGCGGGATTTGGCTGCGCTCTCTGTGAGCAGCCCCTGCCGTTGGCCGTCTCCTCGCTCGCCGGTGCTGCGCCTGACAGCTGTCTGTATTCCCTGCAGGAGTGCCAGCTTCTCCCAGGCCACCCGGGGCAGCCTCCTATCGGGCAGTGACTCTCCCTCGCAGAGGGTCTCTCGCGGCTTCCCCCACTGCCTGAACGGCACCGGCGCCCAGACTCACGGCTTCTACAGCCTGCCTAAACCGGGCCGCCACCCCAGCCGAGCCTCTACGACGCAGCCCGAGAGCCCGCGGGACTCCTGTTGCGACGTGGCCAAAGGCCCCAGCTGGGACTGGGGGGGCTCGGAGGTGTACACCTTTAAGACCCCCAACAACGCGCTGGCCGCGTCTCTCTGTGCTGACGGGGACCCGCCCCCTGATAACCGACACCCCCCCACCCCTCCCAGCTCCTTCTACCAGACCCCCCGCACCTTCGACAAGAATCACAACGCTGTGTCGGTCTCCGACGGCCCGGCTGCCCCCCCTCCCCGGCCCCCCAAGCCCGGCCAGCGGGCCGAACAGTGCCGGGCCGGCTCGGGAGCTCCCGCCGTTGAGGCTACGTCCGTCGGCCCTCGTCGAAACACACTTCCTGCCGTGGAGAACATCAGGCTTCACAGAGGTACTACCTGGGGCCGGACAGGTCGCCGGCCCCTCCTGCTTTGCATCCCCCCCCCCCAGTCAGCTGAGTGTGGCCCCAATGGCGCTCCTGTCTCCCAGCATCGTTCCCGGTGTATTACGGGTGCAGCTGCTTTCCTCCTTCACCTCTACGACTCTCCCCCCTCTCAGGCTCCTCCTTCGAGAACAGCGAGCACCCGCCGCGGCAGATCTACTTTGCCAGCGCCGGTCAGTCGGCCGAGTCCGTCAACGAGATCCTCTGCCCGTACCTGGTAAGTGTGAGCCAGAAGCGACCAGCAGGGGCCCTTGCCTTGCGGAAGGGGTGCTGCTTACGGTCCTGCCTCAGCTCTCACTGAATCGGCCTCCAGCACAACATATATAGATAAAAAGCCAGAGTAGATGTTGTAAAAGTAAACAACGATGGCGTGTCTAGAATGGGCCGTGATGGGAGCTTAATTAAACCTTAATTCTGGGCTGAGTGAGTCCAGCCCAAGCAAAGCAGACCCATTCGCTGAGGACCAGTCATGTACCTGTTTGCTTTCCACCCGCTTGGGTGCCCCCACCAAAGCGAGCGGCTCCCCCTGCCTGTGAGGCGTGGAGTTACTCACTGATGTGCCCCCCCAGCAGCGGCCGGGGCTGCCCCTCAAGCGCTCCGACAGCAGTGATTCGGATGATAACTACGTGCCCATGAACCCGGGTTCGGGGGCGTCGCCCTCCTTCGGCGCCCTACCTGACAGCCCGCAGAACGTCTACATCCCCATGAGTCCCAGGCCGCACCACTTCGACTTCCCGAGCTTTTCCGCCACGCTGCCGGCACGGAAGGGCAGCTCAGCCTCGCTCTGCCAGCGGCCGGGCCGCCTGAGCGACGTGACCCCGCCCCCCATCAACCGCAACCTCAAGCCTGACAGGAGGGGTATGGCCCGCCGCCCCCCCAACATACCCGTCCACGAATTTTCATTTTAGGTGGTTTGGGAAAACCCATTTATATTCATGGAAGAAGCTATCTGATTGGCCAGTGTACATGCTTCCATCAACATTTGCTACCTGTTTTTTCAGTGGTTAGAGAAACTCGGTATTCATGAGAAATGCTACCTGATTGGCCAATGAACTCTGTCTAAGGCATTCACTGGCCAATCAGGTTAGCGCTTCTCTCAAGAAAATAAATGAGTTTTCCCCATACCTCCCTGTAAAATGAGAATCTGTACATCTGTCCCCCCCTCTGTGTCTAGCGCGCCCCGTCCCGCTCGACCTGCGCAGCAGCAGCATCATCGACGAGCTGCCCTTTAAGAGCCCCGTCACCCTGTCCTGGACCCGGCCTGTGTGAGTGAGCCGCCGTGTCCCCTCAGCCAGCGTATGTGTCTGCCGCAGCTTACCGTGTGCCCCCCTCCCTCACAGGCCCGTCGCCAGCACGGTGTGCCGGCCCTCATCCACCCAGAGCGTCACCAGCACCGACTCCGCGGACAGCGAGGAGAACTACGTGGCGATGGTGAGTCCGCCATGCCAGCAGCACGGGGGCGCGTGTCACTGGCCATCGCTCGTGTGACCCCGGCTGTCCCTCTGTCAGCAGAACCCAACGTCTGCGTCCCCGGCGGCCAGTGGCACCGGCAGTCCAGCCCCCAGGAAGAGCGGCAACGTGGACTACCTGGCTCTGGACTTCCAGGCCGGCTCCCCGAACCCACACAGGAAGGTAGTGTCCGGAGGTCTCACCGCCGTTTTCTGTCGCTGTCGTGAACCCTGACTGGCTACTCTGTTGGAGAGTGGAATGTATTCTGATTGGTTGATGTATTGAATGAATTTTGATTGGCTGCTGTATTACAGAGCGGAACGAATTCTGATTGACTGGGACAGTGTGTGGCTCAGCGGGTTGGAATCTTTGATCAGAAGGTTGCCAGTTCAAATCCCAATGTCATGAGTGCCTGTCTGACCCTGCCTATTCAATTGTACATATTGCACATGGCGCATGTAAATGTCTTGAATGAATTCTGATATATTGAAGGAATTCAGACTACTGTGTTGAAGATCGAATTCTGATTGCTTGATGTCTGGGTCAAACCATGTCATCTTCCCTGTCTGCCAGCCGTCCACATCCTCCGTGTCCCTGGACGAGAAGGTGGATTACGTACAGGTGGACAAAGAGAAGACTCAGGCCCTCCAGAGCACCATGCAAGAGTGGACGGATGTCCGGCAGTCCTCCGAGCCCACGAAGGGCCTAAAGTCCTGACAGGGGCCGTCTGTGATGGTGTGAAGCCCCGCTGTCCCGTGCGCATGGTCCCTGTCGACGAGGACTCGTAGGACTGAGACTGCCAGTGGCACCCGGCCGCATACCCCTCCTCCGTATGCCCGCCTCGCGCCGAGGCTGCACCAGAAGGCCGCTCTGATCCCACGGCTGCGCCAGTGAGCTTCACCTGCCTTATGCAAATTATATAGGACTGTAATCCGAGGTCCCATTTAGCCTGGGTGTGACGGGCCGTACACCCTGCGTGCCTGCTAATGTGTATGTATGTATATCGCTTTAATGGCGCTTAGGTAATTAGACTACAAAGGGTCTTTTACCCATCTTCTTCCTGCCTCTGGGTTCAGCGTCTCCGTGCACCAATGTTCAATGACTCCACATCTCGTTTATTGAGTAATCCGTTTCGCTTCAAGATGCTATCCAGACTGAGGTTCCCACGTGTCCAACTCTGGTTGGAAAACTCAAGTCCGTGCAATCATTTCTGATCCATTCACTGTAAACTGCATCCCCCCCCCCCATTCACGTGCCACGCAGGTACTAAGATTTCTGGGGGAGATGGTCTCTCTGAGCTACATGAGTCTCTCTGAGCTACATGAGTCTCTCTGAGCTACATGAGTCTCTCTGAGCTACAGCATGGGAAAATACAGGGATATTCCTAAAAACACACACACACTGAAAGTGTGAACTGAAATCACTTCATCCCCTGCAGGACGGTCTGCATGGCCTAGCTGAGGGTGCTCCAGTCCTGCGAGCCGCTGAAGATTCCCATCACACGCCGTTCTATCGGAGCAGCCTCATTAAGATGTGTTCGCTCTAGTTACAAGGGTCACTCCGCTGATAATTGCAATCTAAGTGCTGTTTTGGCGTGAAAGGAAGTGACCGTTATTAACACGTCTGCCCTGGGTCTGCCCTACAGTGCCCCAACAATGCCCAGAGCTGCTGGATTCTCCAGATGCAGCTAGCTGAGCCGTGTTTATCTCTTACACACGCATGGAAGGGCGGCGAAAACGCTGCGGACGCAGAACGTGGAGCCTCTTGATATGGCGGCCGAACCCAGCGGCCTGTGCTGTGAATATAATACCCCAATACCTGATACCCATCCACCGCCCACATAACCGAGCATGGCATTTGTTTACTGATAGGTATATCAGCAAGGTGACGCCACTAGTGCATCAGGATTAATTACAGGCCTTCTATTCTACCCTTGCCCCCCCTCCCCAATTCATCACACTTATGGAGCCATAAAAATGATCCCTGATAAATATGGAGGCATTCTGGGCTGACTGGCAGCCTGTCTTTCACCGGGCTGCTGTGTTTATGACTTATTTCTGGCTTCTTAATCAAGTCTGCCGGTCTGTGGATGAGATTCCTAAAATGTCGATGAAGCTAGAAGCGGTTCACATTGACCCTACCTTAACTAGCGTAGGTTACCAAGTTTGGTAAACATGTTGAGTGACAGGATTTATTAGAGGTCTGGCTCGCTAATGAATGCAGAAGCTTGTAGGATCTCATATGCACGATATCCAAAATAAAAGGGGAGTTCACAAATGACCTTCATCTCCCAGGGGTTCAGTCAGGCCAGCCGCCCGCCTTTCTCCATGCACCAGCGGGTCATTTTGTGGAAACGGTCCAAGCTGCAGATTGTGAAGAGCACGATGCTGGCAAGCTAATTCCTCAGCAGATGTGAAGTGTGCCGTTGTCAGCCGGGTGGATCTGCTGGGGCGCACGGATGTCGAGCAGACGGGCCGCTCGCGACAGACCAGCGCAGTCTGCCCGGGAGGTTTGCGTACGTCTGCCCTGACGGGGAGAGGTCGGGACAAAGCGGCTCGCCGAAGGTGGTCACCCGAGCTGCAGGCCAAGTGGCGCATCGGTGAAATGCGGCAAATTTCTCCCGACAGGTGATGTTTGCTGAGCTCGCTAACAAGGGGTCGTTGTGTAGGAAGTGGCATGTAAACAAAGCCCTGCTGTCACCCTGGTGACGATGCCACGGCGAATGACACTGCAGAAACAGGCCTGTCCTGTCCTGCCCTCTCTTCTCAAAGGGATTCATTTTCACTTCCGCTACCATCCATCCATCTTCTAACAGCTTATCTCGGTCAGGATCGAGCCTGTCCTTCACTTCTATTCAGAAAAATAGCCAGCTATGTAACACTTCATATTAATCCACGGTAACGCCGCATTAGTCCAGGTCGGGGTGCCATGTTTTAGCTAAGTGGTTATACGTTTAACCTTAAGATAAAACGAAGCGACGAGCGTGCTCTTTCCTTCGTTTCCATGTGTTCTGCACTGATATTTATCCAAATCAGGTTTTAGTGTGACGTGTATGATGTACTACTAATAATATGCGGTTATAATAATATACTGTTACCTTTTGTAATTAAATTACAGGGTGTGAAACAGACGTTTAATTTATGGTTTTTTAAACTGTATATGGAGTAGGTCTGTGTAAAGTTCTAGTCTCAGACTGGTGTGTGTCAGGATGAATGAAATGTGTAGTATGTTTACTTTTGTCATTCATGGAGAGAAGCCATTTTCTTTTTTGATGCCTTATTACTCTGCAATGTTTTGGTGGTTTCTTAGGTTGGGATTCGTCTCGCTGTTGTGCGTGTACCATGCCGGTTTGATAATCGCTGGCTGCCCTGGATGAACAGTGCTCCCTGTCTTCCTGATCTGGTTGCTAATGTGCTTCACTTGGGTCCCATAGTTCCCGAGCCAATGGGTCGCTCATGAGGGAGGGCTGACGTAATCCAGTTGAACTGGGTTCTGGTTTTAATAATTGAAATATGATGTTGCGTGTCTTTTCTGTGGAGGGGAAAAGCAGAGACCTCTTTTTTTTCTCCCCCAAAGAAAATGTGTATGTGAAGAATACAAAATATAGCAGTGTCTCTGGTGTGTGCCGTCACTGTGCCCGGGGACGCCCTCCGTGGCCCGGTACTGTGCCCGGGGACGCCCTCCGTGGCCCGGTACTGTGCCCGGGGACGCCCTCTGTGGCCCGTCACTGTGCCCGGGGACGCCCTCCGTGGCCCGGTACTGTGTTTAGTTCTTTACTAGGCTGTCATTTCCAGTGGCGTATGACTTGTTTGTTACTGTTCTGCAGCATTCCTATCCTCTTGTGAAAAGCTAGTGATTAATTTATGCATTTCTGTATGTTGTCATTATTAAAATGGGAGTGAAGAGCACTGACGAGTTCGGATCTGCTAACGTCGGCCAACGTGCTGTGTCTTGGTTTGTGGTGCGTTTGCAGACGGGGATGTCTGGGCTAATAGCGAGACTCCTTATCCTGTACTATCTGAGAAAATAAACGATGCACTATACAGATTTCCAGAGTCCAGAGCTGCTGTTGGTTATGCTGGGTGAAGTGGGTGTGATCTCTCTCTCTCTCTTTCTGTCTGTCTCTCTCTCCGTCTCACTCACTCACATTCTTTCTCTCACTCACTCACACACTTTCTCTCATACGCACTCCTTTCTGATGAGGGTGTGGCTTGAGTGATTGTTGCCTGGAAGGGTATTAATTCCACTTCCTACTTCCAATATGGATGAAAATCGGAGAGGAGAGCTGGACTGGGCAAATCACACACCGTTGCTGAATTTCAACACCATATTTTTAAAAACTTTTTGTCCAGATAAAAATGGTGCCCATTAGTGCATATCTATGTATCGTGCTTTTGTGACAGTTTCATGGTAGTAAAGACACGGCCAGACATTCGCCATGACCTGCTTGTATGGACGACATTTTATGTTCAGAATTGGTCTTAGGTATATTTATCAGGTCCTCTCATTTGTATATGTCTCCATTTACTGCAGGGCTGGCCAATCTTATCCAGAAAGGGCAGCTGTGTGTGCAGGTTTTTGCTGCAGTTCCCTAATTAAATGACTAATTAGAGGACTGATTCGATGAAGAGTCCTCACACCTGGGTTAGAACAGTTGACCTAAAGGTTACCCCTGAAACCTGCATGCACACTGGCCCTTGGTGAATAAGATTGCCCACCCCTGAACTACTGAATACTCGCTGGCCGTTAAAAATCATTTGAGCAGTTTGACTGCCATAGTTTTCTCACTACTAGTGTTGCATAGCTATGGATTTTCATGTTCAGGTTCAGTTACTGCTAACACATTTCTACTAGGTTTGCAGTTTCCATCATAAAAACACGGGTAACTAACTAATGGGTCCGAGTAAAACAGGCTTTTTAAGTTTACGGCCGGCTTTAGCACAAGCAGCCCAACTCCGCCGATCCTGACACGGCCAATGGCGTCGTCGGCCCCATCACTGCATCCTTCTCTAGCTGGCGCCTGGTGATGATGTCAGTAATGAACATGGCGGACTGTATCTTAATTTTGACCAAAATGGGTTAAGTACGTAATAAGATGTCAGTGGCAGGCTTGCTCAGCTCCCCTCCCACTCACATACTGGTTGGTTTCCAACAGGCGGATTCAGGCATGGTGGAAATCTCTTGGCCAAAGTGCTCCTTTTTAGGTGTTTTGGTGGTTACTGGGGAGACAGTGATGTTATACCTCAAAGGCGTGGTTGCAGCTGCAGAAGCTCAGCCTGGAGCTCTGTTTGTCCTTCGTAAAGAGTGATTGTTTTTACTTTTTTTTTTTTTTTTACTTTTGTGTTTACACAATCTCTGCTGCTTTTGGTTCCGTCCCATACTGGGCATATACCGGTTGAACTGAGTGCAGGACATGCCCCAGGTTACTCCTGTGTTCTGGACGTTTCTGGACCGTGACGAATGTGTTCGCTATGTGAAGTCTGATTCAGACTTTTTAAATGTACTGAAGACGGCGGTGTTTCTCACTCCTATTTCAGTTTTTAAAGCACGTCAGAATACAAATACATTAAGCCTCGTATTTTAATCCTTGAGAGGGGGTTATAAAAGAGCCTGCTAGTGATATACAGCTCCTGCCGGCATTCGCATAACTGTAATTTGACTAATTGGACGAGCTGGACAAACTCGAGTCGCAATATCCCTTATCACCGTGGTTCTGGAGAAGATGGGACTTTCCGATTCCAGGGCTGCGGTGTGATTCATGCCAACGGAAGAACGCTGTCGCCCCCTACTGGCCGCCAGGGAATTTTCCAGTCCTGGGATGACAGCAAAGTCTATTCAGCGTAAAACAAAACAATACAGGATTCTAAACATTTGCCAAAAAGTATGAACTTTTACATTGATTCATATATCTGAGCTCCAGATGTCCAAATGTTGTAATATCCAGCTAAACTGTCTTTCCCTTGAGAGTGATCTGTCGAATGCACTAGTGACTGAAGCCAAAATAAACCCAAAAACTTCGCAAAACAAGGAAAGCACTGAAAAGTTTTACATGCTGAAAAATTTCCTGTGATTTTGTCAGTTTAAAGGCATTCAAGTCTCTATTACTTAGCAGTTAGACTGATTTAAAGTGTTTTAACGTTATAAGGATTTAATTTCCTTAATGTTCCTTAATGCATTTTATTGCACTACCTTCGGTGTTTTCCCTTCAACTTTTCTGTTAGCTTCACGCATTTCCCCGTGCGAAGGATATTGTTCTTACCGTACAGAATGTGACCTGTAAATGACTGTAAATTAAACAGTAACCCAAACCCAGCTGAGCTATTTGAGTTTTGTTTATATATTGCATTTGAGCCTTTGATCACTTCTTTTCTTTTCTTTCTTTCTACGGTAATGAATTGCCACTCATTCGTATCAGGTGCCATATGGGGTCACTAAAATTCCTTTTTTTTCTGTATTTGTCTTGCCCTGTCTTGTCTTTTACTGCACCCTTCTTCTGTCCTTCATGTGCACCGTTGCTGGTCTTCTTGTCCCCCTTATCCACCTGTCCTGGACCCTGCAGCTGTAACACAACAATTCCGCTGCGTTCCTCGGAACATGTGACAGTAAAACTTGAAACTAGACCTTTTTACATTTGTTTTTTACAAACACTTCTATGCTGCTAAACACTACGCAATAAACTATTTGCAGCCGTAAGTCGTCCCCCCTCCTTTTTTTACGCTAAGCAGGCGTAAAGCTTGAGTAGAGCATTGTGGCCCCGAATCGGGGCGCGGACTCCCGGTGAGGCGCAAGGCGGCGCCCTGCTCGCAATCTGGCCGCCTTTTCCTTTCCGTTTCCACGAGTTAAGTTTAGAAATGAAAGTCCGCTCCGCTTTCCCTGCACTGTGCCCTATTATTCGGAGCGCAGAGAGAGCAGCAGCAACAGCAGCACGGATTCGGCTCCTGCGCCTCGCCATGCTCCGGGCGTCCGGGGACTGCATGGGGCCGGCACGGTCACAGCCCGGCGCTGCTCTCATCCAGCCGGCTTCTGTGTGACTATGGGCGAGTGGTAGGGAGTTTGGGGGTGGAATCCAAAGAGCAGAGGGATTCCGGCTATCCTTATGGGATCTATGCTTATACAGACAGATTTTTCCCCCCTTCACTGCAAAATGCTACCTATAATAATCCTTTATTTTATTCATGAATTTCGATTCATTAATTTAGATTTGTTCGGTTACGCTTTAACGTTTTGTCTGTTGCTGGTTTAGTAAATCTAGTTAATGTAAACCTGGTTGCGTATCTTTTGAGCTCAGACTTTTTTCTCCACATATATTTTTTTTAATCGGAGTAATTTTCCATCCATCTTCTATCCGGGTGGCGGAGAGAGGTTGTTGTATTTTTAATTATCTCTTGATCAGAGCCGATTTGGTTCCCATGCGAGTTGCTGGACATTATGTTTCGTTATTCAGGTTACTTTCGTTCTGTCATACTAAGGACCGCTCATATATTTAAGGCAAAGGCTGCCGCTTTAAGGCGCATTCAGTATTTTCACCGCGCACCATAGTAGAGCTGTGCCCACCGGCAGCATGGGTGATGCCGCCCCTCCGCAACCCCCGGCCAGCGCCTTCGTCCCGCGGCTGCACGGCGCCATCGTGGAGCGCCTCCGCGCCCGGATCGCCCTGTGCCGGAGGCACCACTCCAGCTGCGAGAGCCGCTACCAGCGTGGCCAGGCTGAGAACTCGGACCGGGAACACGAAAGCACGCTGCACCTCCTGAGCATCGTGCAGCAGGGCTCGGGGAGCCGCAAGGTGAAGGGGAGCCGCGCATCTGCCCAGCAGCAGGCGGAGAGCAGCGGCCGGCTGAACGGGGAGCAGAAGCCGCAAAGCGGCGCAGGCGCGGAGCCCCGGAGCAGCACGCGGATCGCCGTGAGTGGCCCCTCATATGCATGCATGCTGCCAAAGTGCCTTATATCAATGCGGTGGTCACTACTATGCTTTAGATAAAGAACTTTTAAACAGAACGAGTGACCCTCCATCTACACAGCTGTCAGTTTACCTGAGTTGTAAAATCCACCGCCCGCCTTCCTCACAAGACAAAATGTCATTTCTAATAGCCAAATCTTCGTAGGTAATACGGGTTTTGGCAAAGCGCTGCTGACTTGCCATTAACTTTAAAACTTCGTGCTGCGCGCTGGTGCTGCATCTGCAGCTGGTGAGAGGGTGATGCCTGTTATACCTTTGAACCCGAATTTGTTTGGCAGCTAAACAGACGGTTCTTAAACAGAATCCGTAAATGCGGGTCCTCACAGCCTTCGGAACATTATTTCGCTGTTTTCCAAAGGCAGTCTTAAGGCATCCTATCGGGGACGCAAGGGAATAATATTCAAATGTACTCTGTGTTAAAATCAGTTTAATCAAAGCGAGAGTTCAGGATTCTTTTAATTAACCCGGGTCCTGGGTGCCATTTGCTGTTCAAAAGCCAGCCACCTCTGTCACTTGTTTAGACTGAGCAGTGTCACACGCAGTGTCCCCGTGAAGACCCACGCTGTTCTGTATGGCCTAGGAGTGGGTGGGACTAAGCCTCACACCATGCAGCCTGGGGTACCACCCAGCGAGGGTCACCTGCAGGTACTATTTTGGGCTGGAATGTGCAGATGCCCACCTTAAGCAGCCCGTGAATTGTGTTGCCATGAAGCTCTGAACATCTCCTATCCTGGGAGATAGAATTAACCAAAATGGGTTCAGAATATGTCATTCTTAATGTGTGATGCTGCGTTTGCAAATGGATGCCAACATGGACCACCTCTGTGTGCGTTGTTCCATGCTGCATCTGTGGTTTACCATTTCATTCTTGCTTTGGAATTATTTGGAATTTTTAAAGCTTAATGCCAGAGATGCTCCACAGTTTTGGTCAATAATGTAGATACTCATTCTTCTTTGCACTTGCTTTTGTCTGATACCCAACGTTACTTATGATTATGAACATGTGTATCCCCCCCCCCCCGATGTCCAGTTTCCTCAAAAATATATGTTTTGACACAAATCTCTTATATAAGTATGGATCTCAGAGTAACTCTCTGGGGGCTTAAAAAGCCAAGTTACAACTTTTGTAGAGTCCAGCTGCTGTGTAGTTTTATTGTGTAGTAGGGTGAAAAGTTTATGCTTGTCACACTGCAAACAAAGGTCTTTGAATGTTACTGAAAGATTTACATATTTGAGTAAATAAGTGCACAGAGGGTTGAGGAAGGACAACTATTTTTCAGGCTTGGTGTGTTTTCTTAGGGGGAAAGATGGTTTGTCAGGTTTTTCCTGGCAGACTGGGAGAGTGCGCCTGTGTGTGCGTGAGAGAGGCGGGGGGGCGGGGGCGGGGGAGGTGATCTAGCGTGCATCTGAAGCGTCTCTTGCCAAGCGCTGTGGTTTGTCCTCTCGGCCTGAAACGAGAGCTCCGTGGGAACTTGAGTCGACAGGTAATGTAAGTTCATGTCATTCTGCGTCCAAGCAGGAGTGGAGAGAAACACCTGCGCTGCATTTTCCCACCATGCCGGCGTGGGGGGGTTTGAACCCTACGGCAAAATTAAATGTCCCTCCAGAAACAGGCTTTTCTAGTTGTCACTGCGCTCCTGTAGCAGAACAGAATGGGCTGGGCTTTTCGTCCAGCTTTATGCAGCAAGTGGCCCCCTGATCCTGACGCTGGGCTTGGCCCCCTGGTCTTGGGGTCGGGCTATTGCTCGGAATGTGAGGTTGAAGCGATGTCACAGGCAGGTCGGAGTTCAAACGCTGTTTACTTTAGAGCTCAGGGTGCTTTCTCCACGCTGGGCCGAGATCGCCTCGTTCCCATGCCCCAGTTTCACACCACCTCTCTGAATGTCTACAATTCTTCTTCCTCAGCCCCGCGGTCTGCTCCCCACGCTGGCTGTGCTGTGCTCCTGTCTGCTGACCCCTGTCTGTTTACTAGGTGTCTGGAGAAATTTGTGTTACGCGGGTTACGAGCTGTCCCAGAACCTTCTGATGAAGGACTCGATTCCCGAAGCTCCTTACGTTATATGCTTCATTAAATCTGCAGGAACTGAAGTGAGCCACCACTATTAACCTGCGCACACCCAAAGTGTAATTCACCACGAGAACACCATGTGGCGCTGTGGAATAGTATGTGCATTTTTGACCCCCCTGTTCCCTACGGCCTGTATGCTGCTCATCTTCTCAACTTTTTGTTCGGGCCTCTGCTAGGTGACTTCAGAGACACAAACACCATCTTCTCTCTCACCGTAGAAACCGATTTGTTATAGAGATAATACAACAGCGTGCAGTTGGGTGACACACACGCTACCCTCGTTCATCTTCTGCTAGTGGAGATGCTGTTTGACAAGCCTAATGAACAGCCGTTCGTCTGTCTGGCCAGAGACGTTAGAATGGGAGGAACTGTAGCCATCGTCAGCCGAGACTGAGGACTCCTCCTCGTGGAGCAGAGCCTGGGATCTCCTCTCTCGCTTTTGCTCCTTAAAGGAGCCCTCAGTCGTATTGGTAACACAGTGGTGAGTAAGCTAGCATTGCCCTCGGTGACGGCGTGTCGTCAGCCATTCAGGAACGCCTCACCGCTCTTCTGTCCGCGTATGGCCTGTAGCAGCACAGTCCGCTCGTCTTCACCATTATCGGGTCTGGTACCTGGGCTGGGCCAGCGGAAGGTGACGACTGAGCATCATATTAGCTGAATGACTGTAATAGCATGCAGCAGTTAGATACTGTTAGATACTGAAACTCCCACGTTCTGTTCCTGGCAGCAGGAAATGACACGCGTCCCTCTGGGCCTGCTGTCCCCCGACGCGGCCCACAGCTTCAGCTGCTGTGAATTAAGGCTCTGCTGTGGGAACGTGTGTGGAGTGAGAGCAAGCAGCAAACTGACCGGTGTTCTGGGGAAGAGGGGCGGGCTCAAGCCCAGGCTTGCCTGGGAGTCCGAGGAGGGGAGAGGAGAGGAGAGGAGAGGAAAGGAGAGGAGAGGGCAGAACATCCCCCTACTCGGACTTGGGGAGAGCGTCTGAATCCCTGAAGGTGGGTCAGTCTGCTCTCCCATCACCCTACTCCTCCTTCTAGGGTGGCACAGCCGCTCTCGCACCTCCTCTTTCTCCTCTTGTCTCCTCTTTTCTCCTCTCCCCCTTTCCCATGCTTTCTTCTCTCAGGCAAAGTGCTCTTCGAGCCTCGAAGCCGCTCGCCTTCCTGTCCAGCTGGGACCATGACGTACGACAGAGGGAGGGTACCAGAGGGAGAGAGAATTCCCATGTCACTCCCACCCTCCCTGACCCCCCCCTCCCCCAATCCACCCCCACCTTCCTTCCTGTTCTGTTTTTAGGCTCGGCTGCATATATTTTCCACCTCCGGCTAAGAAGTCTGCCTGTGAACGGTGTTGCCATTCCCAGGAATATTTCACCCGGAACATCAGATATTCAGCATCCTTCTCCTTGCACCCGTGTTTAATTTGATGGCCATGGACACTGGAAGGCAGCTGCCTCCCAGGAAGGCCTGTGGGTCTGACTGAGTGTCGCCGCCCTGCTGTCTGGTGGCTGTTTTGCTCTGGCACCTTGCCACTCCCTTCTGTCTGACCAGAGGATTATGGGAATCCGCACACTTTTCCCTGAAGGCCTTTGAGTCTATTGCGTTTTCCCCATTTTAGATGGCAGGCCGTCGCTGTGCCTTGCGTGCGTGTTGAGGTGGGTCTGGGCTCTGGAGATGAAAGGCTCAGTTCAGGCCTACGTATGTCCTGCGACCTGGTGCCTTGTGCTGTTTTGACTTGCTTGTTGATATTACTGGGAACTCTATCGCTCCGTGTTATGTCTCAGGCAGATAACAAGCGAGCCGTTCCCGCAGAGTCTGAGAAAGAGCTGGTGGCTGGTCATGTGATACCCTCCCCCCGCTCTCCAGTTGTTCGACATGGAGCCACAGGCAGGATCTCGCAGGCGGAGCCGATGAGCGAAGACATGTTTCCGACACTTAATGGTACCGTGTACTCTGTAGCACCCCTGAGGGGAGCTGAGCTGAGCTCGTTCTGCTCTGACATGTTCCCGCAGCTCTGTGCCGTCATGAAGTGCTCTTTGAACCACGCCTCGGTTTGACTTGAGCCATATTGATGGTGCCTGATGCAGCTACAGGCCATGATCTCTCTTGCAGCGGGATACGACTGCTGCACTTTGGGTGAACTGTCCTACTTCACGGAGTCACTTCAGATTACACAGGGAATGCCTCTAGAGGGCGTAGGTTAGCCCATGCCCAGCTGCCCCGCCCTGCCCTCCACGCTCCGCCCTCCCTGATGTCCATTGGGGTTCTGTCTGGTTGGGTGTAGGTATGATGCTCCTCATGAACAGCGGATGTGCACTACAAGCCAGAAGCTCCTTAGATGGGCTCCCCTAGACCTCAGCCCTGCCACTACCCTGCCGGCGATAACGCATCCTAGGTGGTGATGTCATCGCGGCCGTATCCATGTGACCACACCCGTGGCTTAACTCAGAAAGCCCTCGTAGAGGATGTGGATGCCATGCAGGGTCAAGGAGTAGCGGTAGTGGCTTCATGGTGTCCTTCACCACAGTATTTATTAACTGTTCAGCAGGTTTGATCTCTGCACCTGTGATCGGAAGGTTGCCAGTTTTCACCCTCTGACGGGCTGCTGCTGTTTATCTTGCCACGACACTTTTATGCTTCTGGACTTTAGGGAGGATTATGGAACCCGATTCTCTGCACCCATTCCACCGCTGCTGGCTGGAGCACATGAATTTGGCTTAAAAAAAAATATATATTTTATGAGAAGGGTGACTGTCTCGTGTTTGAAATAGATAGTGCTCCCTAGTGCTGGGGAGGATTCTTTGACTTCTAAAGGATGGCTGCTATTAGTAATTTGCTGTGAGCCAGCCCACGCAGAATTCCACTCAGATATGAGTGGC